TAAATCTGAAACTGTGGACAATAATGTGAAGTTTGTGTCACAGCTTCACTTTTTTCCACATACAGTATTTGGGGATAAGAGACATATATAGAAAGAAAATGTGCTGAATATAAAGGGTACAAATGTTGTATGTAATTCACTAACAACACATAGTAATGTGTTCGTTCTCGGAAAATGTCTTCCCACCAGAAGCCAAAGCTGTCCTCACTGTGTCTCCATCATGGCTGAGTCCTGGAGCCTCAGTAACTCTGAGCTGTCAGGTTGAACATCCGTCTGCAGGATGGAGGTTCTACTGGTATAAGGCTGTTCCTGATCTATCAGACAAGTCCTACAGTTATGAGCTGCTGCCTGGTAGCAGCAACGGGACTGAAGAAGATTCCTACATTGTTGATGGACAGACACAGACAGCAGGATATGCATGTAGAGCTGGAAGAGGAGACCCAGTGTATTACACTCATCTCAGCAATCTGATGTTTGTCTGCTATGGAGGTCAGTTTCTATGTTTTAATGCTTTCTTTCCCTTTCTATTTAACACAGTTGTTCCAGTCTGACTCCGGCAAACAAGTCTTCAGAACGACAAACTACGTCCACTTTTGTTTTCCTTATAAAGTTTAACATTTGCATTTTAAAGCAGTTATGTGAAATTGAACCGTGTGTCTCTCGAATTAAAGTTTTGGACTGTATCTTAACATAATGTGTTTTTTACATTTCGTGCTGATATTTAATAATTGAGGAGATTCTCCCATAGATTATAATGACATATATGATTGTTCAGATGAAAAGATTTGATATTTTCTTAGTATTGAATTAAGTTTAATAGTTTCAGTATGCAACATGTTTGTATTATTGTCAAAGTTCTGGCTATAAATTATTATTGGGATTGCTGACCAACCGAATGAACACCCAAAGCCTCAGTTGACCTGATACCTTGGTGCTCATTTGTTACTGAACAATAATGTTTTGTCATGCTACCCACTATGTCCTCGATGAGTTTAGTCGTTGGGATTTTTACTGATAGGAGTCCTCAGTAGCATTGTTTAATTATTTTTGCAACAGCAGGTCAGTATAAAAGCTGTGTATTGAATGAAATATGTTCCTGTAAATTCATATTTACAGAGTCCAGCCCTGAAAGCTCCTCATTTACAGTCCCGTTCATCACTGGGCTGGTTTGTGGAGTTTTCTTGACTATGGTCCTGCTGCCTCTACTCCTGTGCTGCTGCAGAACAATAAAGGGTGAGATCTTTTCCATTCAATTTTAATTCAAAACATACTGAAAATCACTGAAAAATTCTAATGCTATGACCTAAAGTGAAGAACAATTTGCATACACAGTAAAGAATATTTTTTATTTTTTTCTACAGATCCACGTAACAGGTTGGTACCACACTTTTCATTCACTTCAAGCATTATAACAATACTTTTCATGACACTCCTTATTAATTTCTTTATGCGTTAGGCTCTCTCAGTCTCTGGACAACAATCAAGGCCCCGCTACGCAGCAAACAGTAAACCAGAATAAAACTCAAGTTTACTCGTCTCTTCTCCAAGGTCAGGTTTTAGAATTTTATTTTTACCAAAATGTCACACAACCATTTCTTTTCTTTTCTTTCTTTTTTGTTTGTTTTTCATCAAAAGCTCAAGTAACTAATCTTGATTTTCTCTGATCTTTAGGTGATGCTTCTGTCTATGAGTCAATCAGAGGTTCTGGAAATGCTGAGAGTGGTACAGTATAAACTCTGATCAATGTAGAGCTGCCAGACATTATATTTTCTATCATCGTCTAACCTACATTCATGCAACATTATTACAGATGTACCGGCCAATGACAACAGTAATGTCACATCTCCTCTTCAGCGTGAAGGTCTTAATAAGAGCAGTGAGTACACAAAATAGAATTTATAATAACTCATTAATTGTTATTGTACTTATGAATCTTGAAATATTGATACAAACTTGTGTCTATGCATGTACGAGAAAGAACCGCTGAGTGTTTTACAGTTGCCTATGAAGCCCACATTGTTTGCTGGACACCACTTTGACAGCCAGCAGCAGAATGATGACATGTAGCTGTACATGCCATCACTGGTCAGATTAGGCAGGGGTCCAGAGAGAACCAAATAACCATACGTTTCTGACAGCCGTTTGCCTTTAAAGAATTATCATTAGTGCTGGCATGAATAATAATCTCACTATATCTGCATGTATTCTTAGCCAGCAGTTTCAAATATGATTCAGTGTCCCCCGCTCTGGCCCAGGAAATACATTTGACAGTAGCTGCTGGATCTGATAATTACCAGAGCAGATAACCCACCCACACATATCGTCACATCCCTAAAACGTCATAGATTAACTAATTAAAAGGGGGGGGGGAAAAATCTATTTCCTGTTTTTTTTGTTTGTAGTTATGATTCAAAAAGAGGTCCACTCTTACATGTGTGCAATGACAGTCCCCTTTTGGTAGGTTATGGATGGATGGATGGAGGATGGATGGAAGATGGATGTATGGATGGAATATGGATGGATGGAAGATTTATGGAGGGATGGATGGAGGATGGATGGATGGAAGATGGAGGGATGGATGGATGGATGGAAGATGGATGATGGATGGATGGATGGATGGATGGAGGATGGATGGATGGATGGATGGATGGATGGATGGATGGATGGATGGANTGGATGGATGGATGGATGGATGGATGGATGGATGGATGGAGGGATGGATGGATGGATGGATGGAGGATGGATGGATGGATGGATGGATGGATGGAGGATGGAGGATGGATCTCAGACCACAATCATGCAAACTCCAAACCCTCTAAACCAGCTGCAGCTATAAACATTAACACTCGAGCCACTGGATCATTAGTGATGCAATTACTTTAACAGTAAAATGTGTCATGTTGTTGTTTTATTAGATAACGTAGCCACTGGTCCATTTAATCACATCAGTTGAAGTCTTCAAGGCTAAATCCTGTTCTTCCTTGAAATATATCATCAAAGATTTGTCCGTTCTTCGGTAGAAACGTTTTTTTTTTTTTTTTTAATTAGTGCAGATGATGTGTTCTGTAGCAGCGGTCCCCAACCTTTTTTGCACCACGGACCGGTTTTAAGCAAGAACCTTTTCCACTGACCGGTCATTGCACGCATGCAACATGTAATCGTTTTTTTCTATTAAAAAGTTTCATAAACAAATGAAATTACTTTTTATTGCTAAATATGTACTTGCTTTTTCTTCTGTCTTAGTCTCTCCCACTTTCTAAAGAAGCTCTCCACAGACGTTTGCTTTTTCAATTCATTTCGCCAGCAGTTAGACTGACAGCTCCACTTTACTGCGGGAGGTGAAAACTAACAGAGTCAAGTGTGAGAAACAAGCACAGACAGAAGTGAAGAAAGTCATTTTTCAAAACAAAACACCAAACAGACTCCGCCGGAAATAAAAATAAACCAATAAACTGTTATCATTCTTTCTGTGCGGCCGGGTATCGGTCCGCGGCCCGGTGGTTGGGGACCACTGTTCTACAGTAAACGTCATTACTCAAAATCTTGGTAAATATATTAACTATTCTGTCAGGAGTGTCAAAATTGAGTTTTTATGGCTTCCACACTTGATCCCATAATAGTTTGCTTTCACAGTTTTGTTGCATTTACAAGCTGAATGAGTCAATTGTTTTCCTCCTGCAGCACAGTAATGAAAGAGATGAGATGTACTAATTGTAACTCCTTTCAGGTCCATAAAATCGACAACGCAATCAGCAAAAAAAAAGACACTGATGGACGACAACGTGAAAAACAACATTCAAGTTTTAATGTGTTTGACAACATTTCTACAGTTTTCTTTTAGTTCATATTAAGTAATTATGATCTAGAGTTAGTTTCAGCCTACATACAGGGCAACACTGCGGACACTGCTTTTTTATTTCTGCTTGTGTATATTTTTGTTGCAATGATGTGGTAATGTAGATGTTTAAGCTCATATATGTATAATCATACATATAAGATCATAGTGTGCACATTTTCTGAGTTACAGTTTTGTTTTTTCAGCAATTTTGAGCCGTTACACCTTCATACGTACAGCAGATGGCCACATGACATTTTCAGGGATGAAAATGATGATGAAAAATCTATTTTACATCCACTTCAGGTGTCACAACCTGAAGCCAAAATCTTGTATTTCTTCAGCATAATTTTTTTATATAACCAGTTTTGAGCATGCATTCCGTGGGATATATCATTGTGTCAGCACAAGTTTAATATATATTAAAGAAACCTGAATATGTCTTTTTGTCAAGAAGAACAACATAATGCGTAAATGCAAAGCAGAAACAAAATCACTGCTGTTGTACAGATAACATATTAAATGATAGTGATATTGAGTATTAATATAAAAATTATATAGCCTACCCAGGATAACTCGTGTTTTCCTGAATTTCGTCTGAGTTAGACCAGTAAAAGTTACGTCTCCTCAGAGCTGGATGCATGTCACCTGTAGACAATTCTCCTTTAGGTTTAAAAGAACAATGTGCAGACTTTGATGATACAGTCAGATTATATTGAGGATTATTCTGTGTATAAATAAATGAACAACTTTGTAGTAATTTCATATTGCTTTATCTATTGATTTTACATTTGGCTGCATTTCTTTTCTTTTTTATTGCATCCTGAATTTGAATAAAGTGAACTGAACAGTCACTGTTGAATTTCCTAAAACAAACGCTGACAAGTGCACCATTACTGGTACGGCTATCTATACGGCATCTTTCTCTCTCTCTTTTTTTTTTTTTTTTTTTTTAGGCCTGTTCACACCTGAGACAGTTGTTTCATTGAAAATAAATCTAATGTAGAACGGTGCATTTGTATCTAACTCATGTTTTATGTAACTTACATGATTTGCTTTGGCCCTCAGCTCAGACTACATCTTCTGCTTCCCCATTAAAAGAAACCTCCCCCACTCTCTACACTCACCACCGTTTTATCTGCGGTGAGCCTGGTTTATTCACAGTTAGCTAGATCACAAGAGGAAGCAGACGTTAATGCTCCTGTCACAAGATGGCCTTTGGTCATATTTGCTCCCTGTGCAGCGCCTTCACATACATTGCCGTGTTGATGCTTGAGCTCGGCCTCCTTGGTACGTGCACCTTTAATTGTTGATCTGCGAATATTTACTGTAATAAGTACCATTTGTTTACTTCCTGGAGCATGTTGGCCAAGATTGCAGAATGTTTTATTTGTGTGCTTTTCATCTTGAGTTGATCTCAAGTCTTTCTTCTTCTTTTGTGATTGCAAATGCGGTATGACTTTGACTGACAAATAGACCGAACATTGTTTTTAGTGGCTCTTTACCAATGCAGTTATGCTTTGCAGTTTCTAAATAGTGTGTCAGCAGATTTCCTGCTGCATCTATTCTGGTGCTTCCTGGTTGTTTTCTGGAAAGTATTATATTATTGTGCCTTACCATAAACCTATATAATATATTGTGAAGTAGATCATAGTTGGTAATGCAGTCTATACCTGAAATGCGTTGACAGGAATAAGGGAGGTGTCGGCTAGAATAGATTAAATTCAATAAGGTTAGATTACTTGCAGAAGTGGATGTTGAAAACCTCACTAAAGCGCTCTTTATAGTTCACAGGGACAAGATATCTAATTTTGTGTCAGTGGTTTGTGGCGACTGCATACAAAGCAACTGACCACTTTCCCAGAGAAACAATATGAAAATGCAGAACATGCTCTGTGTTTTCTACAGATGCCCCGTTAAAAAAAAAAAAAAANTGGTGGAAAAGCTTGTCCTCTCTACCTTCATGTAGTTTGTTGATCAAACATAATTCCACTGAAAGTTGTCATAGCTGCCGTGTCAGTGTGAGACAACAGCGAAGACTGAAGCGAGGCCGACCTTGGTTTGATTTTGATCTGTTAACACTCATATAAGGTGCCACAGTATTGTTGATGATGCGGTCGTGTGATAACCATTCATAGCAAACAGAGAAGTTGTAGCAGCACTTCATGATTTCGTTTGTGCAACATGAGGTGCAGTGGCCCACGCTTCCCGACTGGAGACGCAGGTGGGAACTCATCCAGACCCTTTTCTCAAAAATGTCTTCCTCTTTCTGACTCTTTAATCCTCATAGCAGTCGTGTTCTATGACCTGATTTCATTTCAGGGGCACATTAATAGCGTGAGCCACGATAAGCAAAGGTGAAACAACACACAGACCACAGAGATGAATAAAAAAATAGCTTGCGTTCATTGTGACACGTACTGTTGGCCAGTTTGAACAATATTCACTTCATCTCTTCATGTGGGAATATCTGATGACAGGATGTGGCTGAGTCTTTCCTGCTGAAAGGTTATTTCATTTAGATTTTCATGTCTTGTAATTACATTGTTTGTAATGTTGAGTTAATTCAGAGATGACCTGAGCCAATATAATATGGTGCCAGGATGATCATAAATTAAAGCAAATAGTCATATCAGAAGCAAAGTAGTTTAGTCACAATTTTTGTGGTCCAATCCTACTGTGCTCAGTTGTAATTTAGCAAGAAAATAAATCTTTTATTCAACTTTCATTTTGAATATGATGCAGTTTTATGTTACTTCTGATGCACCTACTTTAATCTCATCATCTAATCATCAGAGCAGCTCAGAGCGCTTATTTTTGCTTGTGCGCTGACAGAAACCTCCCCCACTCCACCCTCACTGTGCTACACACAGTTCGACAGGCCAGAAGAGGAAGCAGACGCTGCTTCTCTCCCCACAGAGATGGTTGCTGGTTGCCTTCGCTGCCTGTGCTGCTTCTTCACATGCATCGTTGTGCTGCTTCTTGGGGTCTGCCTCCATGGTAAGTGCACCTCCGCTCACTGATCTGTGGGTTTCTACCGCTGTGAGTGACATTTGTTTGCCTCATGCACGTTGATAATCAAGATACGGCATGTAGGTTAAGAGTGTAGAACTGTCTGGATATGTGCTTGTCATATCAGGAAATGCCACATCTTCCTTGGAAGAAGCCTAACGCCCTATATTTCATTGTGCTGTGATGGCTTTAAAGCTATAATAGAAACATGCTATTTTAAAACTGAATTTGAAGGATTTAAATTCAAGGGTCCATCTAAAGAAAAGTTGTTAGTTTTTTTTTGTCACCTGATTTTAAAAAGAAGTGTTCACGGTGCCAAGCCTTTACGAAAAGAGTGTTTTCCTCACTTGTGTGTAAGTTCGTGAACAGACAAGCGATTGCATTTTTAGTTCTGTATTTATGCAGCTTTGCTTTGCATTTTTGATAGACGTGTGTGTGTGTGTGTGTGTGTGTCAGCAGATTTCCTGCTGCATCTGCTTGGAAAGAAACTTGAAGCCAGCAGGGGATGGCTCATCCTTTCTGTTCCTGTTGCTTCTTGGTTGCTGTCTTTAAAGAGCTGGTTATATCGTTGCACCACAGAATCCTGATTGATTCTCATAAATCCTGCCTGCTTGTGAAGTCTGTAATGGAGAGGCTTTGACAGGAATGGGGGGGGGGTGTGGACCTTCTGAGAACATTTGCAGAAGTTGGAGAGAGGAGTGTTCAAATGTCACTACAGCTCTATTTATAGTTGATGATACAAGAGGGATATTTAGTGACTTCATTCTGAGAGATACCTGTGTATTAATAGTTGATAATTGTATGTGTACCGGAAATTATCTATAGTACCGGATTCACATGTGTTTCCATTGTATCAGGTAGGGTAATTATAGCCATGTGTTTATCGCTGTTTGTCATGTTCAGAGAGATGGTGACCAATTAGTAACCTTTAAACCAACATATCTGTTTGATATTTTTGCTTTTTTTAACAAGTTAATATCACTGTAGGTACATCAATGCCAACATAACAGTTTAATTGCTATTGCTGCAGATATAATATAAACAAAGTGATCAATTATTTCATTATTTATAGTTAGTGAACCATCAATTTGCCACAAAATGTGCATTTTTTTTGCATGAGGCGCAGGTAATGAGTTTTCTGTTATTTTACGAATTTACTTAACCTTTGCAGTTCTTATACTGTAGTTATACTAATAAATAACATAAATCTAGTATTTTTAATATAGGTACACCATTATATAATAACTTATGTTCATTTTATCGTTAATAATGTCAAACATTTATATAAAATTGTAATAAATTTACTGGAGAAACAATATTAAAATGCGAAACATGCTCCATTTTCTACAGATATACACTTTACTACGGAGACACCATTAAAAAGCAGAAGTTGTTCTGTCTTTACTGCAAAAAGCCGATTAAAAATAATAAAAAGAACATTTATTGTCACTTTAGAGTCACTATTAATTTTGTATTTCCCCCGTCTTTCTTCTTCTTATTATTTTTTTTTACATCTCAGATTATTTGGTATCATGGGACAAAGTCCAGGTAATGGGTTACCAGCACTTTTCCTTCTACTTTATAGATTTATTTGTGTAGTGCTGGATTCCTATAGAAGTTAAGTGTTGTGCAATAAAAAAAACAAAACATGCAAGGCGGACATGACAGCACAAACACCATCATTTCCTGAGTTCTCTCCACCAGCAGCCGCAACACTGGCCGAAAGTGATGAGCACAGAACACCGTCAGCTTCAGTTTCATCTTTAGCACTGAGGTCAGACTCTGTGGTTGCAGCAGCTTTTCTCTAGAAATGATGCTACTTTGGTCCCCACGAAGAGTCGCAAGAACTTTCAATTATTGTTTTATTCTTCAGCTTCAGTTGGGTTTTCTGATATGTTCTACATCGAGACCTTTTGTTTTCAAATTTTAAGGTAAAATTGCTGTCTGTAAATTATTTTTTTTGTTTTGTTTTTTTTATCAGTAAGTATGTTTTACAAATGACAAAGTGGTCATGTCATGTATGTCCTTCTCATCCTGTAACCTGCTTTTTTCTGTCTTATTTTATGTTATCTGACATGAACAGTGACATTTTCCATACTAGACCTACAGAGGTTTTGTTTTCAGCTAATTTAGTGTTTTATTTGTTCTCCCTCAGTCATGAAACTTTCTGAACACAATGAATAAATGATACATTTTATATTTTGATGTCTGCTTGTATGTTTCAGATGTGGAGGCTTCCAGTAGGACACATGTCATTCATAGGAAAGTTGGAGATACTGTGGAACTTCCATCATATTCACCGACTGAAGGTGTCATCAACGTGGCAAATTGGAAATATGGAAAGGTCACAGTCACAGACAAAGATGGGGATGTTTCTACAAATCATCAGTTTAAGGACAGAGTCGAGTTAAACCCCACAAACTTTAGCTTAACAGTGAGAAAACTGACTCTCCAAGATTCTGGTGATTTCAGTTTTTTTTCAGAGGTTAATGACCAGCAAGGGGGCACAGTCATCATCACTCTGCATGTTCATGGTAAGACAGGGTTTTTTGTTTTTTTTTGAGAAACCTATAAATAGAATTGTAACTATTATTAATTACACCTAAACAGCTGCATCTACATATAGATTAAATTCCATAATAGTGAAAGCTGAGAGAACCTAACACATGAGGTTGTCTTTCTTTCCCTCTTGTGTTTTCTCTGCTCTCTCAGCTACAATCACTATTCTAATTTTTTTTTTAAAGCTTTTTCTGTCATATGCCACTGCCTCTTGGATTTTTAATGATGAGTGATCAACATAGTTACAGTTGTTGACCAAACGTTTACCTGCACGTAAAGACCATGCCTATTATTGCAGTCTTAATCTTCCATTAAAGTCACGCTTTCATAGATGTATTGCAGGTCTTCTGGAGATATGACAAAATCTACTTGATCAAAAATATACACACAGCAAGTCTCACATATTTGGTGCAATCACACTCATTTGTTGTCTCTCTGACACTGGCTTGTTTCTTCATCATAGTTCACAGGTTCTTGATGGGGTTTAAGTCTGGACTTTGGGTAGACCGGTCGAAAACTCTAATTCCAGCCTGATTGCTTTGTCATTTCGGTGTGTGTTTTTGGCCATTGTCTTGTTAAAACATCCAACTCTGTCCAAGATCCAACCATCTGGCTAATGATTTTAGGTTTTCCTAAAGAATGTGGCCATAATTCTCCTTCATGATTCCATTTTCCTTGTGTAAAGCACCAGAACATAACACTGCCACCACCATGCTTGATGCTAGGTTTGGTGTTCTTGGAGTTAAAAACCTCACTTTCTGTCATTCAAACAAAGTTCTGGTCGTTGTGGCCAAATAACTCAGTTTTTGTTCCATCTGACCACAGAACTTTCCTCCAGAAGGCCTTTTCTTTGTCCATGTGATCAGCAGCAGACTTCAGTGGAGCTTTAAGGTTCTGCTTATAGAACAAGAACGCCCGTCTTCATCAGCCTCTCAGCTCACGTTGATGTAAAACACTGTGTTCCAGCAGCTTCTAATTCATTGCAGACCTGCTTTTTACTGATTCTTGGTTGACTCTTGACTCTCTCAATTGTTTGTACAGATGATTATGGGAACTGTCGCTGCTTTGAAATGGTTCAAAATGACTTTCTTGACATGTTCAAGACAATCATTTGCTTCTGTAGATCTTTGCTGAGCTCCTCTGACTTGCCCACTGCAGTTTAATGGCTGAGTTTAATGAGTGTATCAAATGGGCCCTAATTAAATTGACTCAGAGAAGTCAGAAGCTGTAGTCAGTCGTAATCACTCATGACACGTGAGGAGACCACTAAGAGAATTTGATTAACAAAACTGTCTACATCCTCAAAACTGATAAATCAAGTTGATGTATGTATACTTTTGACCCAGCAGATTTAGTCATTTTCCAGAAGACCTATGATAAATCTATAAAGGAGCCAAAGTGCATGACTGTATTTAGTGACGAAGATGCCTGTGTTTCAGTAATTACATCCTAGAAAATTTAGAGTTTAGATTTAGAGAGAAAATTCAAGACTTTCATGACCCACATGGGCTTTACGTGTAAACTGTTGTTCACAGCTGTAGTCTGAGCGACTCTGAGGTTCAGACCAGGTGTCAACAACACACAGGAAGTGTTCAGGAAAACTTGATTAAAGAGGTTTTCTGTTGTGAATGATGGGACTAGTTGTGTATTTGCATTTGCACTTTTGGACATACTGTATCTGTAGCTGTAACGATGAAGGTGACTCTTTCTCTGTCTGTTATCTCATTAGAACCCATAACTCAACAACCGAGCCTGAAACAAATCAACTTCACCTACAATGCCTCGGTTGAGTCCTGCACATTTTTGCTGGAGTGCAGTACGTCTTCTGACAGCACCGTCACCTACAAATGGACTGTAGAGAACCAAACCTGGACTGGACCCAAACTGCAGCACGTCTTCAGGGAGCAGGACGNCACAGTCATCATCACTCTGCATGTTCATGGTAAGACAGGGTTTTTTGTTTTTTTTTGAGAAACCTATAAATAGAATTGTAACTATTATTAATTACACCTAAACAGCTGCATCTACATATAGATTAAATTCCATAATAGTGAAAGCTGAGAGAACCTAACACATGAGGTTGTCTTTCTTTCCCTCTTGTGTTTTCTCTGCTCTCTCAGCTACAATCACTATTCTAATTTTTTTTTTAAAGCTTTTTCTGTCATATGCCACTGCCTCTTGGATTTTTAATGATGAGTGATCAACATAGTTACAGTTGTTGACCAAACGTTTACCTGCACGTAAAGACCATGCCTATTATTGCAGTCTTAATCTTCCATTAAAGTCACGCTTTCATAGATGTATTGCAGGTCTTCTGGAGATATGACAAAATCTACTTGATCAAAAATATACACACAGCAAGTCTCACATATTTGGTGCAATCACACTCATTTGTTGTCTCTCTGACACTGGCTTGTTTCTTCATCATAGTTCACAGGTTCTTGATGGGGTTTAAGTCTGGACTTTGGGTAGACCGGTCGAAAACTCTAATTCCAGCCTGATTGCTTTGTCATTTCGGTGTGTGTTTTTGGCCATTGTCTTGTTAAAACATCCAACTCTGTCCAAGATCCAACCATCTGGCTAATGATTTTAGGTTTTCCTAAAGAATGTGGCCATAATTCTCCTTCATGATTCCATTTTCCTTGTGTAAAGCACCAGAACATAACACTGCCACCACCATGCTTGATGCTAGGTTTGGTGTTCTTGGAGTTAAAAACCTCACTTTCTGTCATTCAAACAAAGTTCTGGTCGTTGTGGCCAAATAACTCAGTTTTTGTTCCATCTGACCACAGAACTTTCCTCCAGAAGGCCTTTTCTTTGTCCATGTGATCAGCAGCAGACTTCAGTGGAGCTTTAAGGTTCTGCTTATAGAACAAGAACGCCCGTCTTCATCAGCCTCTCAGCTCACGTTGATGTAAAACACTGTGTTCCAGCAGCTTCTAATTCATTGCAGACCTGCTTTTTACTGATTCTTGGTTGACTCTTGACTCTCTCAATTGTTTGTACAGATGATTATGGGAACTGTCGCTGCTTTGAAATGGTTCAAAATGACTTTCTTGACATGTTCAAGACAATCATTTGCTTCTGTAGATCTTTGCTGAGCTCCTCTGACTTGCCCACTGCAGTTTAATGGCTGAGTTTAATGAGTGTAACAAATGGGCCCTAATTAAATTGACTCAGAGAAGTCAGAAGCTGTAGTCAGTCGTAATCACTCATGACACGTGAGGAGACCACTAAGAGAATTTGATTAACAAAACTGTCTACATCCTCAAAACTGATAAATCAAGTTGATGTATGTATACTTTTGACCCAGCAGATTTAGTCATTTTCCAGAAGACCTATGATAAATCTATAAAGGAGCCAAAGTGCATGACTGTATTTAGTGACAAAGATGCCTGTGTTTCAGTAATTACATCCTAGAAAATTTAGAGTTTAGATTTAAAGAGAAAATTCAAGACTTTCATGACCCACATGGGCTTTACGTGTAAACTGTTGTTCACAGCTGTAGTCTGAGCGACTCTGAGGTTCAGACCAGGTGTCAACAACACACAGGAAGTGTTCAGGAAAACTTGATTAAAGAGGTTTTCTGTTGTGAATGATGGGACTAGTTGTGTATTTGCATTTGCACTTTTGGACATACTGTATCTGTANTTTTGTCAGTGAGAAGTCTGCATCCAGAACCATTAAATGCAGCAGCGATATTTCCCCACAAGAAACAGGTACACCGTTTAGTTCTGTATAACACATTTATAATGCAGTTAATTTGCTGAAAGACCAAACCTCAGATGTTAAATTATTCAAGTACATTTGTGTAATTAATAACATTGTAGGGTTTTAACTGGAATATTTAAACTAGCTTAGTAAGTTTAGTTTACAATGGTAGTCCTATTTTTCTACTCTAAAACACTGCTGTAACCATTTTTACTTTTGTTTATTAATACCAACATATTGAAATTTTGTGTTTCTTGCGTCCGTAGTCTTTTTGTCTTAACTTCATCCTAATTTTTATGTTGCCTTCTGCTTTGTCAGTCAAAGCACTTTGTAAACTCTTGTAAACCCGTGTTTTGCCTGAATTGGAAACAACAGTAAAACAAATGACTCCAAATGAAGCTGAGCGATCTCCTACTTATCACTCATATAACTCGGGAAATTCCACAAGAAATGAACACAAGAAATGTTTCTTACTGCAGGATCTTCTCGTGTCTCACTGATCATTTGGCCGCTCGTAGGAATTTCGGTGATTCTACTGTTGCTCGCACTCCTGCACTTCATAAAGTGGAAGGGTGAGGTGTTTTGTTTCTGATGTTCGCTCAGAAGAACCCTGAATATTCATTAAGAACTAAAACAACTTGTCTTTTTCACAGATCTGTGGCGTCGCAGGTTGGTGAACACACTCTTTGTTTCATCTTTAACTGAGATTCTTCATGCGTTTTTTAAAATTTTACTCTTAAACATTCTTTATTCATTTCAGACTCACACAATCTGAAACAGTCAACCAGGATGAAAGTCAGCAGCATGTTTACTCCTCTCTTCTCCACGGTCGGTCTCCCATCTAAGCCTGTTTGATTTCACTGATTCACTGCATTAAAAAGTCGAGCAGGCATTAGTTCACTCACAAACTTCCGTTGATTGACTTGCAGGTGATGGGAGCGTCTATGAAACAGTGAGGGGCTCTGAAGGTGGTACAGATTAAGCTTCTTAAACTAAAATAACTAATAATAGGCGAGTGAGTAGACAAATAAAAACCAAACTAAACCTTTACTACCTGGTGCAGACTGTGAAATAGGTTTTATGATCAATCATACGACCTTTCCTTAATTAGTAGCTTCCTTTTTAAAAGGTGGTGACCCAAACAGATAGATGTTGCAAAATGCAGATTTGTAAGTGAAAAACATTTCTTTAAACAGTAAAGAGACTGTAAAGTCATGTTAACGTCTATAAAGAACAGCTCTTGATAACTTTGTAGGGTTAAAGTTGCGTCACAGACATGAAGTGTCTCTGTTTTTACACTTTTTTAAAATTAGTTATCTCTGATCTGTAGGTGATGGTTGCGTCTATGAAACAATGAGAGGCTGTGAAGATACCGCCACAGGTATAGTATGAGCTTCATGAGCTGCAACAGCCGCTGAATAACTCAAGGATGTATTTTCAGCAATTTAGTTGATTTAAAGACCTTCTTATTTCAGGCGGATCACCAGATGAATACATCAACTTCCCATCAGCACCAATTCAGACCAACAACCTTGATAAGGAGGATGAATAGGCATGTTGGTGCAGATTGTAAAACAGCTTTTGTGCTCAGTCATGTACTCTTTCCTTCCTTATTAGCTCTTTTTTTTATTATCAGGTGATCTAAACAAACATTGTATAGTTTTTGACATGAGAGTTGCAGAGTAGTACAGCTTGGATTCTGATGTTTCTGTGGCATCTTCAGCAAAACATGTCAAATATCACTTTTAACACAATCAGGGCAAATTAAGGATCGCTTTAACAACAACACAACACACCTGATTCAAATGATCGTTATCAGGCTTCTACAGAGCTTGATGATGAGATGATCATTTGAATCAGGTGTGTTGGAAGAGAGAAACATCTAAAACATGCAGGATTGTGGCCCTCAAGGACCAGGATTGGACAGCCCTGCTTCAAAGTCCAGTGGATGACATTGTAGTGTTAACGTTGCCTGAAAGGTTTGAAGTGGCATCACAGACATAAAGTGTCTCAATCTCATCTAAATAGATGAGAGGAAAGAAACAGTTTTTCCAAATATCTTGTTTCTCTTCATTTTTTTCATTTCCTTTTTTATTCTGATTTGTTTCCAGGTCCATCATCAACAAAACAAGAAAAGCACCGATGACATCTTTTAAAATGACATTATCATTTTAGACACTTTTGGGATGTAACTTTGCGCTCAGACAGGCTGGAGGGTTCGTGCCCAGATGACTGCTTTACAATGAAAGATGCTGTGAAGGGCTGAAAGTCACCATGAGAAGCTTTTTTATATGTGATTAGTTGTTAAAGAGAGTAATTTAGGGCACATGTCTGTATGTTCCTCTGGCCTTTCAAGTCCACCAACTCTTATCCAAAACACTGGTGTGGTTCTGTCATGCCTGCAGGTTCACATTTTAGCCACATGATGGCGCCCTGTGGTTGTCTTTTCAATCACCCTTTGTTTGCTGCACTTAAATACCTTGGCATATGTCCATCTAATTAATCTGTGTACATGCTTCATGTTTAACAACGAAAAATAGGGTTTTTGGATTAGTTTCAGCAGTTATCGCTCCTCCATTTGGGCCAACAGGGTTTCACATCCCTCTTTGTTGGATTTGTGAATATTTCAACTGTGTGTTATCGTTTATTTAATAATCTTTTATTTAATGGTTCGATTCCCCGCCATCTTGAGCTGCGAGTCATTCCTCGATCTCTTTCTCCACATTTTCTGTCTCTCTCAACTGTCATCATCTAATAAACTAAAAAATGCCCCCTAAAAAACGAAAATAGATACGTTTGCTTGTGCTTTTATCTCAGATATTCTAGAGGAGGCCTAACTTGGCAGAAGCGTTCCTGTACAATAACTTACGATGCACTTTTGAACTCACTGGATTCGTGTTTCAGAGTCAGGGTGTGTCTTCGTCTCTTCCATCCTGCTTCTGTTTCTTTAATGACTCACTGGTCAGCATTGGTGTACTGGTATAGTAGCACTTCTTCTTTTAAAATGTCAGCCAGCGTGTTAATGTTACACGTACATTTCAGAGGAGGCTTAATGAAACGGCCGAACACCTCAGCTCGTCCTGCGTCATGTCCAAAGACTATTTTGATAAATAATGTGACAGAGAAGAAAAAGGAAGTGTCCGGTGCGTGAAGAGCTCTAGGAGAAGAATCATATTGATCATATTATACTCAGAAAAAAGGAAATTACCTAATATCTCAAACATGTCAACATAAGGGCCGCCTTGATAACCTTCTGAACTCCCAGCAGTTACTTGGTGTTTTTTGCTCCTGACAATTTTTAGACTATTTAAAGTTATGCTATACATCATAATATAGAGAGAGACAAAAACGAGTTTAATTTCTGTATCTATTTTTGTAAAGTGCCAGCAGTTGTTAGCAACAGTGGGATAAAATGTGTGCTCTACACAGTATAGATAGTCAACAACTGATATGTTTCACTTGTTTCCGATGTGTCCTGTCTACTCTGTGTAAGGGCAAACAGGAGTTCAGCCAAAATGTCCTTGAATTGTTGTCACATGACTGTTGGTTACAGCTGAGGCACTAACAGCTTCACGGCAGCACTGGGTTCACAGAATTTTATGTTGTTGTTTTTTTACAGAATAATGCTAAAGTAAAGGCTTTATTTTTGCTTTATTTTTTTAATTTTTTTAAAAAAGCAAATCTTACATTTTGTCCGGCCTAGATTTGTTCACATTGTCTGATGGAATGTCACAGATGAGCAGTTAAAGCACTTTTGGAAGGTTGTAAAGCTGATGATTATTTGTATTTCTACAGTTTGTGGCAAAGAGACTGAGTCATTTTTGCCTTAAAAAAAAAAAAACGCTTTTCAATTAGTTTTCAGTCATGAACTAAAGTGGTCGGTTGGTTTTTGATCTGTTGGTGGCACTACAGGAAGTCAATGCATGGTTAGTTTGTCCCCCTGAGCACTTTCCATATCAAATTTCAGGGCGGTCTAAGACAAATGAATAAAAATCCAAGAAAACAGAAGAAATTTAAGGAATATAGCAAAGTAAACTCCAACCTCTGGCGATAATGTATGCTGGTATGAAGTTGCATGCTAACCCATGGTACAGTTACAGAGATGTTGACCAACCAAACATTTCCAACCCTAAAGCCGCACCACCAGCAGGGTAAACAAATCTGGTGGCTTCCTGAAAATGTAAATGAAACTATTTTATCATATTTGTGGTGCTACTTAAAATTTGCAGAGAGAAAACGTTGACAGACATGACACGAGTATGCAGAATGCAGTATGCTTGGTACTTTTTGGTGCACTACTAGTTTTAAAAATAAATAAACAAAAAGTTGTTCACTCGCTAGAATATGGTGTGATTTTATGGGGAAGCAACAGTTCAGGCGGCTGCTCTAAGTGTGAAACATCATGTGTGAGTGCATCTGTGAACACGCCATTGCCTTGAAGTTGATCAGGAATCAAAGTTTCCATTGCACAGACCACCAGTGCAGAGACGGGGGTTTCTGATGCTGTTTTGACCTGTGCTACCAGTAATCTCTCTACTTTTTTCTCATTCACACAACTGGAGACCAGCAAAACCACTTCCACTTCTGACAGCTGAGACACTCTGCAGTAGTCACAAAGGTCAGAGTTCTTGCTGTAGATCCGTTCCCCTATATAAGAAAGAACTCAAGGCCCTGAAATCTAAATTGACTATCATAACTATTACTTTTTATATCAGTGTATCTATTTTAGCAGCTCTACACTCCACCAGAGAGGAATTTAGTAAAGGTATGTGGTATCCAAAAGACTGATCTCGTATAGATTTACAGTGCCTGTGACAAAGGAAAGTTTTCCCCTTTTATTGCTTTTATTGAATCATGGTCAGTATATTTGGGAATTTACTTTAAAAAAATAAAAATAAAAATCTCACAATTAAAATAGATTTCTACAAAGTAATGTCAATTATAAACAAAAATGTAAAATGAGTGATTGCATGAATAGTCAGACCGTTCGAGTCAGTGGTAGATGCACCTTTGGCTGCAGTTACAGTGTTGAGTCTGTGTAGTTAAGTCTCAAACAGCCTGAACATCTGGACACTACAATTGTACTTAGTTTACATGGGGATCATGAGTGAACAGCCCATTTCAAGTCTGGCCACAAATTCTGGGTTGGATTGAGGCCTTGGCTCAGACTCAGCCACTCCAGTACATTTACCATGTGCCACTTTGGCTTTATGCCGTGGTTCATTGTCTTTCTGGAGAATAAGTCGTCTTCCAAGTCCCAGTTCCCTTGCAGACTCCACTGGGTTGTCCTCCATGATTTCCTTATACTTTACTGCAGTAATCTTACGTTCCATCTTTACAAGCCTTCCAGGGCCTGCTGCTGAGAAGCATCATGATGCTGCCACCACCGTGCTTCACGGTGGGGATGGTGTGTTTGTGATGATGTGCAGTGTTTGCTGTCTGCCAAACTAAATGTCTGATCTTATGGCCAAAAAGCTCCATTTTGGTTTCATCAGAACAAAGAACCTTCTTCCAGTTGACTTCAGAGTCTCCAACATGCCTTCTGGTGAACTCGACTCCTAACTTAATGAACTTTTTTCAGCAGTGTCTTTGCCACTCATAAGAAGCTTGACTGATGAAGAACAGCTTGTATAGTTGTAACAGTGTTTCCCAGCTCAGCTGCTGAAGCTTGTAACTCCATCAGAGGAGTCATAGGTGTCTTGGTGGCCTCCTCACTTGTCTTTCTTGCACAGTCACTCAATTCTTTTGACGATGACAAGCTCTATGCAGATTTTCACATGTACAATATTCCTTTCATTTGTCAATGATAGGTTGGACTTCCAAAGCAAATTTGGTTACTTGGAAAATGTTTTGTATCCATCCCCTGACTTGTGCTTTTCAATAACCTTCTCACTGAGTTACTTGAAGTGTTCTTTTGTCTTCATGGTGAAGTTATATCCAGGAGTACTGACTAAACAGTGGCCGGACCTTCCAGATACAAGGGTCTTTATAATCACTGTGACACACTGACTGTGCTCAGATGATCTCCATTTTACTAACTGTGGGATTTTTAGCATCATCCAGCTTCACCTGTGTTGAATTAGGCGAGTCAATGTAAAGGGAGTGAATACTTATGCAATTACTAATTTTACATTTTATATTTTTATTGACAATGCTTTGTAGAAACCGGTTTTCACTTTGACTGTTTTTATGGGGGAAATAAACTTCCAGAGGGGGTGAATATCTTTTATAGGCGTTGTAGGTTTCACATCATAGGCTCCACATTGCAAATTCACTTCCTGTTTGTAATTCAGGTTGAGCTCACCGGAACAGAACACGCAGGCCGGCACGGCCACATATCCTCTTTTTCTCACAACATTGATGTTTGTCCATGATTAACAGAATGCTCAGAAGCGGCCTTTATCTTGATGATGGGTCGCTCATAGCTCACTTCCTTCTGTTAACGAGTGCACAAGACCTCTCAGGAACTGTGAGATGTGCAGTTAAAGGCCTCATTGTGCAAGAGCGGACGCATGCACTGCAGATTTTTATTTAAATAGTAAGCAGCACCAGTTGATCTCTGATTGGCAAAGACATTTTGCTTGCCTGCCAGAAAGCAACAGTCTCTGGATATAGAATGATGCTGTAAGCCCGCCACTGGCTGCTGTAGTCTGCTGCGTTGCCATGTTCAAAATCCCCTTCACTGGGAAACAACCTCTTGGCGGCAACTTACATGCTTAAAGTCTTACAGTTTGAAAAGGTTTGGATCATGAAATAAATAGCTGTTCTTGGTTTTGTGTGTGTGTGTGTGTGTGTGTGTGTTTTTTTATGGAATTTATCCTTTTTAATTCCAGTGC